TTAGACTGGAGACATGATACAGGAGTTGTTGCAGCCTGGAGGCTTTCTATAGGAGTTGTTGGAGGCTGAAGACATGATATAGGAGTTGCTGTAGACTGGGGACATGATATAGGAGTTGTTGTAGACTGGGGACTTGATATAGGAGTTGTTGGAGAATGGGGACATGCTGTAGGAGATGTTGTAGACTGGGGACATGATATAGGAGTTGTTGTAGACTAGGGACATGATATAGGAGTTGTTGCAGACTGGGGACATGATATAGGAGTTGTTGTAGACTGGGGACATGATATAGGAGTTGTTGGAGACTGGGGACATGATATAGGAGTTGTTGGAGACTGGGGACATGCTGTAGGAGATGTTGTAGACTGGAGACATGCAATAGGAGTTGTTGTAGCCTGGAGACCTTCTATAGGTGTTGTTGGAGACTGAAGATATGCTATAGGAGTTGTAGACTGGGGACATGCTGTAGGAGATGTTTTAGACTGCAGGCATGCTATAGGAGTTTATGGAGACTGGAGACATGCTACAGGAGTTGTTGGAGACTGAAGATATGCTATATGAGTTGTTGTAGATTGGGGACATGATATAGGAGTTGTTGTAGCCTGGAGACCTTCTATAGGTGTTGTTGGAGACTGGGGACATGCTGTAGGAGATGTTGTAGACTGGAGACATGCAATAGGAGTTGTTGTAGCCTGGAGACCTTCTATAGGTGTTGTTGGAGACTGAAGATATGCTATAGGAGTTGTTGTAGACTGGGGTCTGGGGACATGCTGTAGGAGATGTTTTAGACTGCAGGCATGCTATAGGAGTTTATGGAGACTGGAGACATGCTACAGGAGTTGTTGGAGACTGAAGATATGCTATAGGAGTTGTTGTAGACTGGGGACATGATATAGAAGTTGTTGTAGATTGGGGACATGATATAGGAGTTGTTGTAGACTGGAGGCATGCTATGGGAGTTGTTGTAGACTGGAGACATGCTATAGGAGTTGTTGCAGACTGGGGACATGCTATGGGAGTGGTTGTAGACTGGAGACATGCTATAGGAGTTGTTGCAGACTGGAGACATGCTATCGGAGTTGTTGCAGACTGGGGACATGCTATAGGAGTTGTTGCAGACTGGGGACATGCTATAGGAGTTGTTGCAGACTGGGGACATGCTATAGGAGTTGTTGCAGACTGGGGACATGCTATAGGAGTTGTTGCAGACTGGGGACATGCTATAGGAGTTGTTGCAGACTGGGGACATGATATAGGAGTTGTTGCAGACTGGGGACATGCTATAGGAGTTGTTGCAGACTGGGGACATGATATAGGAGTTGTTGCAGACTGGGGACATGATATAGGAGTTGTTGGAGACTGGGGACATGCTGTAGGAGATGTTGTAGACTGGAGACATGCTATGGGAGTTGTTGCAGACAGGGGACATGCTATGGGAGTTGTTGCAGACTGGGGACATGCTATAGGAGTGGTTGTAGACTGGGGGCATGCTATAGGAGTGGTTGTAGACTGGGGACATGCTATAGGAGTTGTTGTAGACTGGGGACATGCTATAGGAGTGGTTGGAGACAGTGGTTGTAGACTGGGGACATGCTATAGGAGTGGTTGTAGACTGGGGACACGCTATGGGAGTTGTTGCAGACTGGGGACATGCTATAGGAGTTGTTGTAGACTGGGGACATGCTATAGGAGTGGTTGTAGACTTGAGACATGTTATAGGAGATGTTTTAGACTGAAGACATGATATAGGAGTTGTTGTAGACTGGAGACATGCTATGGGAGTTGTTGCAGACTGGGGACACGCTATGGGAGGTGTTGCAGACTGGGGACATGCTATGGGAGTTGTTGTAGACTGGGGATGTGCTATGGGAGTTGTTGTAGACTGGGGACATGCTATAGGAGTTGTTGCAGACTGGAGACATGCTATAGGAGTTGTTGTAGACTGGGAACACGCTATGGGAGTTGTTGTAGATTAAGGACATGCTATGGGAGTTGTTGTAGACAGGGGACATGCTATAGGAGTTGTTGGAGACTGGGGACATGCTATGGGAGTAAAATGTATCTTATTTGTGTATCACTCGGTTGTTGCAAATGGGGGACATGCTATAGGAGTTGTTGTAGACTGGGATCACGCTATGGGAGTTGTTGTAGATTAAGGACATGCTATGGGAGTTGTTGTAGACTGGGAACACGCTATGGGAGTTGTTGTAGATTAAGGACATGCTATAGTTGTTGCAGACTGGGGACATGCTATAGGAGTTGTTGTAGACTGGGGACATGCTATAGGAGTTGTTGTAGACTGGGGACATGCTATGGGAGTTGTTGTAGACTGGGGACATGCTGTGGGAGTTGTTGTAGACTGGGGACATGCTATAGGAGTGGTTGTAGATTAAGGACATGCATGAAGATTCAAGGAAGAATTCACGTCTCATATTTAGACAATATTTTCTTATCCCGGAGTTCAGATTTAAGATGGATTAAATCTTAAAAATGCATTCAAATACCTTAATTATTAACAAAAATGTATCTTATTTGTGTATCACTCGGCTGTAGATCCTCAAAATATCTCTGAATTGGTGCTGACACTGTCCTTCCTTCTGGATGGTGCCTACCTTTGTTCCCCATGGTCACTGTGTGTGTTGTAAAGTACCCACCGCTCAAAGCTCACTCCTGTGATGCAGGGGCGGATCCAGAGTCAACTGTTCAAAGCCCATTTCGTGTGCACCTTACTGTATAGCTGGTGACAAATTGTTGAGTGCGTTTGTCATTTGTTTTGCGGATCCAGAGTCAAGTCTCGGGAGTGGCACTGCCAGAAAATAAGCACCCCCAAATCTGGCTAATCCATTGCCACTGTGCCCATCTCTCTCCAGAGTGCGGAGGTCAGTAATGTGACGCAGTTCGCGGAGGTCAGTAAAGTGACGCAGAGCGCGGAGGTCAGTAAAGTGACGCAGTTCGCGGAGGTCAGTAATGTGACGCAGTGCAGAGGTCAGCAAGGTGACGCAGCGAGGAGGTCAGTAAGGTGACGTAGTGGGAAGGTGAGTGGTGTAAGATAGAAAACCTAGATAGCAAGGATAACTTGCCACAAACTTGTGTCAGGGTTAAATTGTAATTCTTGTTAACTTGCTGCACACATTCCTTGCAAGTTGTAGACTTGCAGAACACTTGCAGCACAAGTTCTAGTTGACACTTTTTGAATTTGTAGCAAATTTGCTTGGCAAGTCTACAGCAAGAGTCCTGCAGGTCTTAGCAAGAGCTCTGCAAGCTCGCTGGTCTGTAGACTTGCAATGCAGACTTGTTGTAATTGTGCAACAAAATTGTGAAGCTTGTCAAGCCTGCAATAGTTGAGCAAGTCATTTTCAAACTTGCAGCTCAATTTCTTGCTATCTGGGAAAGGGACTTACAGTGGTGATGTGCTCTGTCCTCATGCCCTCTTCTTCCTCTCCGAATGGTGGTGGGGGGAGGGGGAAGCATCAATGTTTCCTCCACGTGCAGCCTTGTTCTCCTCTGCTGAAAAATACCCAGGCAGCCAATGACGGTGCTGCACTCTCCCTCCCAGCCAAACGCAGCAGAGGTGGGCGGAGGAACATACAGGCTGCCGAGGAGCCTGTACGGCGACTCCTCTCCTCAGCGGCAGAGCAGAGCTAACAGGAGATCGTGCAGACCTGCAGCAGCGGCGACCGCTTCTTGGCGGAATCGGGGGGGTTGGGGCGACGCCTATGATGTTCGCACAGCGGCCGGGACATACAGCTGTCACAGAGTCTACTGTAGTTCAGTGTAAAAAACCGGCATAGTACTTGTACTGTGCCGTTTTTTTACACTGAGCCGCAGTTAACTCTTTGACAGTGACAGCTGTATGTACTGTAAAACAGTAGAAAGGCATCATGGCACACTCACAAACCAGCATGTAAAACAACTTGTCTCACCACTAAGGACAATGACAGAGGTTTGGATACACGTCTTCTGCAAAGGATGTGAAAGCCGCACTGCCGCGCCAAGGCACCTCTTATAGTGCGGTCCTAACTCTAAACTATGAGAGTCTCCATCTTGGAGCACATGGGGGCAGAAGATATCAAATTGGGCGCAGGTTTGTCAGGAGGACGCCCCACCTCCTTAAAGGTACAGAGACACACAAGGGATCCCGCACATCCCATTGGCAGCTGAGAAACCCCATGCGTCGCTGCACCAAATTATCCTAAGTGGTGAGACATGTTGTTTTACATGCTGGTTTGTGAGTGTTATACAGTAAGGTGCACACGAAATGGGCTTTACCATCATGGGAGAAATATGGTGGTCTCCATGGTCCCTGTGTGTTGTAAAGTAACTACCGATCCAAACTCACTGCTGTGATGGACTACAAGCTCATGTTTAGTGTACTAATTTGTATTGAGATTGTTGTCCATCATGGTAGTGAGCTTGGAGCGGTGACTACTTTACAACACGCACATGGGGAATAAAAGTAGCCACCCTCCAGAAGGAAGGACATTGCCAGTACCAATTCAGAGATGATTTGAGGACCTTTAGACGAATGATAGACAAATAAGATATATTTTTGTTAATAGTTAAGGCACTTAAAAGTATTTTTAAGATTGACCTCCTGAGTATAGTGTCACTTTAAGGAGTATTCTAGCACAGTAGCTGTAGGCCAGTGGTGTCTTTACCATGAAAGATTTACATTTTACTGGTGCCACATTTGATATTTCTCTCAGCATGTTCAGAGGTAGATCAAATATAAAATATGGGATGGACACAGAAAAATGAAAGCTCGTGTAAAAGAAATCAAACATACCATTTCACCTACTAACTGGACCCCAATCTAGAATAATAATCTTCACTGGCTTGAGTAAGCACTGCAGTCTGCAGGGGCCCCAGGAGGATCGCCAAAGGGCCACATGAGGCCCCCCAGCCGTGTTGGGGACCCAGCGTTTAGCATCTCCTGGCACTTTAAACAAAAAATAACCATTTATGATCTGTCTATGTTGTGCACGATCATGCACGGGTGACATCGGGTGTGTCGATGACAGGTGCCAGTGCACGATGTGCTGCCCCCGGGATCTGTGCCCGCTGTGACGTGTATGGGGGCAGCACCCGATCCAGCCTCCTCCAGGCGACGAGCTGGGGAGGTGGTCAGAGCCGATCCCACCTGCGGGCTCCTTATGGGGGACTGTGTATGGGCGGAGGAGAGGACACAGGAGGGAGAACGAGGGATCCCGGGCAACATTCATCATGATCGGCGGCCAGCATGGAGGACAGAGGCGGCAGCCTGATGTCATACGGCGTGTAGCAGACATCCTGACCTGGCACAGGCCTCTCTATAGCCTCGCCGTCTTCATCGGCTGCAACCTGCTATTCTGGTAGGAGCCACCTGTCATGCCGGGAGGATGAAGATGACACGGGCGGGGGAATGGATGGGGATGAAGGAGGGTGGATGTCGTCCACTGACGTGCAATGCATTGTCATGCTGTAACAAGGCCATACAGAGCGGGATGATGGACTGTATGTAATGACCAGCACTCCATCCTCTCCTCATACAGTGTCATATTTCAGGTGCTGGATGGGAGAGAACAGACTTCAGTAGCAGGGAAAAGCTCTTGTTTTTAGGGTGGCTCTCAAGCCAAAATAATTCGTTTTTTTAGTTTTGGATAATGTTTATGTCTGCCTGTGTCTCCTTGGGGAGGATGTTGTTCCATCCTATTTTGGAAACACAACAGGAAGTGAGAGGAAATCTCTTCATAGTATGGGAAATCCACTCTCGGGGCTCGTTCACACTAGCTGGATGGTAGAACTTCACTTTTTACAGTATGGCGAGTGGCAGCATCCTGCATTATTACAATGCCAGGCACTGTTTACTTTTTTTGTTTATTTTCTAAACTTTATTTGGAGTGTACAAAGTGTACGCTCCATTCATGTCTGCAGCAGCACTTTCCTGTGGCGTGGTGGCATCCAGTGCGCTAAGGAAAAATTTTGTATTTTGGTGTTTTACCACAGCCCACCACACATCATACTGGCATTGTGCTGTGAAAAACTATGTGCACTAGCAGTGACTGGCATTGGTCTGGTGCAGAAATACGCCAGTCACCACACACACGGGTTCATTCATAAAGGTTCCATCATATAGGCACTAGCACCCATAGAGTACAAGAAATTCCCATACTCGTCAGAACCACCTTGGGGCACTAGTGCCATGTGAACAGCATCTGCCTGGTGTACTTTTATATATGAACCCCACAATGTGAATGGACCATTAGGACCTTTTCACACCATGTGCAGAGAACCTGCAGCTGATAAATGCAGGTCTCTGCAAGAGCACACCGATAAACACACCACAACTGAGCTTAAAAACAAAACACGTATAAAAACATGCATAAACTGTGTCTATGCACGTCTGGTTTTTTTGTATGTTATGGTGTGAACGAATCCTAAGTTGTCATTGGATCAGTAGTCCCCATTGGAAGATTTCCCCCTCACGCCCTGTTCTGGTGACAACTGGAAACAGGAAACAAAAATGTCTTTGCTAGTGAAATACATTATGGCTTTCATAAAGCAGAAAGTAAAGTATAGGGCTGCAACAACTCATCATTTTGATTGATGTTAATCAATAATGAGAATCGTTGTCAACCATTCTCATCATCGATTAGTTGATTTGATTAGTTGTATCCACCCCCCCGCTTTACTTTTCCTTGCTCCTCCTGCTTTGGAGCCTCTGCATCCCAGAGGAGAATCAGAGGGGACATGTGAAACACAAGTCGTGTGCACCTACGTACGAAAACGGCTATTGCGCTTCACATGTCAGTTATTGTGGTGTGCGCCAGAGTGAGAGCAATAATTTGTGGGCCAATATTTATGGCAAACTCTAAACTAATGACTAGGCTTATATATATA